TTGTCCTGGTCCTCCATTTTTCTGTTCGTATTCTTTCTAGCCCCCCTTGGTTTACCCTGCATAAAAGTCACTGTTAACTCTAGGCTTAAGTACTCAAGCATTGTGGCCTTTTGCCACCAGCAAATAAAGATTGCTTGACCTTCAAAAAAAAAAAAAAAAAAAAAACCCAGGGGCAGATTTGAACTAGGCTTCTTTACCATTGGAGGATGTTGTCTACAGCCATACCATCCTGAACACACCTGATCTCGTGTGATCGCAGAAGCTAAGCAGGGTTGGGCCTGCTTAGTACTTGGATGGGAGACCATTGGAGGATGTTGCATGACTGGGGATGCATTTGGGGCAATGAACTGTTTCCTTCAATCCTAGTCTTTGGCTAGGATTGAAGGAAACCCAGAACATGGCCTGCTCTAAACCAAGAAATGTACAGATTTTGAATATGGTGACTAGGCAAGTGGCACTGTGGGCCAGTACCCTAGGTTCTCTGCTTTGCTCGATAGTGCATGTGGTGTTATCATTGAGAAAACACGAGGTGTAGAAGATGACTTGAACACAGCGGCAGCCGGAACCATGACGGGCATGTTACAGGTGGGCTTTGAGGAGTCGCACGAGGGGCTCTGGCAGACCGGACACTTACTAGCCTGTATGCACTGTATGACAACTGGGAGCACATGAAAGGCTCCTTGCTCCACAAGGCACTCTGAAGATTTTGCCAATTCATGGAGGATACTTGTAGTAGTCATCCAGCAAAAAAGCCAGTCTGGATTTATTTTCTTCTGCCAGAATTCATTTGAAAAATTGGAGATTCTGATTTGATGTAATGAAGATCATGGATAACACAGATATCCAGAAACCAGTAGCCCTTCTTGCCCTCAATAAGCTGAAGCCAAAACCCTTTGGTAGCTTACTGAGTAAGGTGGGAGATGATCTTGGATCTACCCATTCTCTCTCCTCCCTCTGAACTGGAAAGCCACTTATTCCTGGAGCTCAGGTCATACTTATTGTCAGTCACAGGATTTATTTATTTATTTATTTATTTATTTTGCAGAACTGGGGATTGAACTCAGGCCCTTGTGCTTGCCAGGCAAGCGCTTATTCTACTGAGCTATCTCCCTGGCCCAGTCACAGGATTTATTAATGAACTGAAACTGTAATACTGCCCTGTACTTTAAATAAAGGCTGAAAATAGAACCAAAAAGAAAAATAGTGTATTGGTGTCCTATTATGTGCCCAAGACTGGGATCAGTTCAGCTTTACCCTCAATGAGCTCACAATCAAAGGGGCCAGGTAGACACAAGAGATGGCCTTGCATGTGAAATGCGAGACTGTAGGGAGTTCGGGAGAAGGCTTAAGAAGAGGCAACAATAAACTGGTTTTAGGAAGGACAAGGAAAGTAAGGAAATAGCAAGGGAGGGTGGAAAAAAAAAAAAACCCACAGTAAGGAAACCAAACATGGGCCTGAGAATTAGAGAGTGCGTGAATGTGGTGGGAGCCAGCATAAATGGGAGGAAGGGGCAGGAAGTGGCTGTGGCTGGAGAGGTCAGGGGTGAGTGGGAAATGGCTTGCTCCCTAGCATAAGGAGTTTGGATCATCTTGAGGGCGCCGGGAGCCCAGGAGATGTTTAAACAGGAAAGGGCTCCATCAGATCAGATCTGGAGTTTACCAAGAGAAAAATGGGAGAGGGAGAGAGGGAGGGGCCAACGGGGCGGGGGAGGAGAGAGACAGAAAGGGCATGCCATAGGTGCTCACTAGGCACTTAGTAAGTGAAGCTATTGGCACGGTCCAGATGAGAGACAAGGATAGCCTCGGAATTAGGATGGAGGCAGAAGACAAGGGGTGGATTTCAGAGTTAGAATCCATGAGACCTACAAGTACGTCCTCGGCAGCAAAAAGATGTGGCCAGCAGGCTCCTCCTCATGGCCTGGCCTACAAATTCAGAGCGGTGGAGTTGAAGTCAGTTTTCCCAGAAAGAAAAGAAAGACTGACTCAAGGGAACTCGGTGCGACAGATCCTGGGCCAGAGCCCAGGTGATCCAGGCTGCAGAGCACATGGCTAGCACTGCTTCAGGAGTGGCTTGGAGAAGGGGGCGGAATGCAGGAGATGCGGAGTCGAGGAAGGACCCCGAGGCTCACAGCTTTATGCGTACTGTGATCCCACGAAAGACTGGTCCGCCCAATAAATGCCTGTCTTCAAGAGCTGGATGGGAGCTGGGATGGAATAGAACCCGGTAGGGACTCGAGGATACTAGATGGGGGTGGTCACTGGACGAGAGGCTGCGCTCAAACGAGGGAGTTTCCTTTGAAAGAGAGCGAAACTGAATTGGCACACCCGTTTCCTTGAAACGCCTCCCCGCTCCAGCTTCGGCCTTCCCGTTTTCTCTGGTGGTGGTGGTTGGGGGGGACTTCCTTAGGGGTCTCTATCCCCAGTGGAGACGCTTTCAGTTCTGCTGGAATTCCCGGAGGCTGATGGGGGGCGGAAAGGAGCCCGGGGAGGGGAGTGTCCCTGTGGAATCCCAGCACCCATAGGAATCCCTGTCTTTCCTCCACCCCCTTGGAAGCAGGTTGGCTCCAGGGCCGCCTCCACCAAGATTTTAGGGGTCTCGGAGGCTGAGGAGTTAGAGCCCTTTCTGAGACTAAATGCCTCCTGGCTTAGCCCCGGAGCGCGTCCCTAAACTCCAGAGAATGAAAGCTGGGAATGTCCTGGGGAAATCCCTGGGCTGGATCCAGCCTCTGGTTCCGCCCCTATCTCGCAGGATGATGCGATTGGTCCTCAAAGACTCTGCCCCTTTCCTGGGCAGGGCCAAGGAGTTACTAGAGGCCCCGCCCGCACGCCCCCTGCTCCCAACACCCGGGTTTCACCCCGCCATGGTTCGCTTGGCGCTGCTGTGCGTGCTCTGGGGCTACTTGCTGACAGCCGTGAGTAGTTTCTGTCTCCACTAGACTTGGGTTGGGATCTGAGACTGAGGAAATGGAAAGGCAGGAGGAAGACTTAGCGAAAGAGACTTTCCTAGTTGATTTGAGGGGACAGGAGGATGTGTGGGAGCTGGGCAGGGCACCCCAGATCCTTGCTAAAATTAAGGTGGGCTGCCTCTTTTGCCAGATTGTTGGGGTTGCGATTAGCTCACAGCTCAGGGGAGGCACTACTGCATAGAAGTGCCTGGACAGTGTGGATGGGTGGGGGCTTACGGAGCCCCCATCTCTTATCCGATCAGAAAGGTGGTGTCTGGGTTTGCTAGCGCCGGTCACAGAGACCGAAAGGAGTTTCAAAGGGCGGGAGGAGGTCGGCCAAGGACCGGGTGGGTCTGGTCTGTTTCTTGTGCTTTTAGGCTAGCCTCCAGGGCTTATCATCTCTCCACCAGCTGCGGCCTCCTTTTTCCAGAGCATCTTGTGGGAACAAGAAATGGGGACAGAGACGCATGCACTTTTTGCGGGGAGGTCCACTTCACACCTCCAACCCCTCACCCTAATCCTGGGTGAGCCCATTTAGGAGGAGGTTCCAAGGTCATATCTCCTTCTCTTGAAGATGACATGGGAGTACCCTGTGGGAGACAAACAGTTCCTGGAACCCGGGGAAGGGTCGGGAGACCAGCAGGGGTTTCTCCAGGTACCAGAAGAGCTGAGATCCAATCAAGCATATCACTGGGTTTTTCAGAAGCCCACACTTGACTCACTTTTCGTTTAAATGTATTTCTGTAGTTCCTCATTCTGAAGGCTGGGAACTCCCCAAGTACCTGGCCTTTTCATCCTAGTCCCTGGTCCTCCCCCTTCCTTCAGGGACTGTGGAGTCTGTGGACAGGAATAGCCTGTGGAGTGTGTGTGTGTGTGTGTGTGTGTGTGTGTGTGTGTGTAAGTGGAGAGGGCATCAATCATAAGGGAAAAAAGTGGAGACGCTGCTTTGGTTCCAAACTTTCATTTTCACTCTAGGGAATGGCTCTTCCGGAGAAGGCAAGCAGGAGGAAGGCCACACTCATGGAGTGGGGGAGAGCTGGAGGAGATGAGGGGACGGTTTCCTGAGCTTCTCAAGAGTAGCCCTTATGCTCTCATAACCTCCAATTTAAGCTCCAGGTAGAGGCTGGCCATAACATTAGCTAAGATCTTCCTGTACATCTGCCAAGCGCTGAAAACACTACATATAGTCTACACCTGACTCTTCCTTACTCCTGCATTATACAGACCAATCACCTGAGGCTCAAGAAGGGGAACTGTCTTCTCCAGAGTTTCATAATTAGTTCATGGCAGAACCTGGGTATGAATCTGCATCTGTTGATTTCTAAGCCGTTCTCTCACATGGTGAGAATCTCTAAGCCCTGGTCCTGAAATTTTTTTTTTTTTTTTGGCAGAAGTACAGGAGCTATGGGGACTGGACATGGGGAATGACAGGTTTTCAGACCAGGAGCTGTTTTTCTCCTATTTTTGAAGATGAGACGAGGGACTTGCATTGCTCTGGGCATGCAGAGGCAAGGTTCACAGGATGGTTCCTCGCTCGCAACGTGCTGGGGTGGGGGCGCATCAGTCGCCTTTTCTGTTTCTTTCCCCATTTTGGATAAGATGTGTTTGTGTAAGTAATGTGCTAAGGTACCAGGTTGAATGAGAGCTGGCAATTAGCTGGATCTCAGCCAGCTAGCCAGTTATCCAGGGTACGGGGCATCTAACCAGGCACTCATCTATGTGTGATAATTAAAACTGTCATTTAATGAGTTCTTACTATGGCCTAGAGTCCAGTGGTGGTGAACTAGGGCACGTGTGCCACAGTGGGCTGTTTGCACCAGTGAAATCTCTAAAAGGGTCACCATCGCTGGTCTAGACACTAGCCAGCCTACATACACGTGTTTCTTCTTATCTTCACAACCCAACCTGCAGGGCAGGTATTATTAGTCCCATTTTTTTTTAAATTTATGTGTGTGTGTGTGTGTGTGTGTGTGTGTGTGTGTGTGTCCAGCTCAGCCCACCAGGGGGGTGGGGCTGGCTGGCATGAGGTGCTGGGGGATTGAACCACGGTCCCTGTGCTTTGCTAAGCTTGTTCTAAGTAGGTGCCCCAGACCACTGAGCCATCTCACCAGCTCCTATTAGTCCCATTTTAAAGGCAGGGAAACTCAGGCTAGAGAAGCAGAGTAACTCATATGTATTACAAAGGGGAGAGCCTAAAGCTGCCTTACTCTCAAGCCTGTGATTTTTTTCCACTGGCTATTCTCAAGGTGTAGGGTAATTTATGGTATAGAACCAAAGATGCATTCATATTCTGGTTCTTTTTTATAAGCCTCTTCATTTTTTTTTTTTTTTTGAAGGGAGAAGTCTCTGGAGCTGGAATACATCTAATGCCTCTCAAAGACTCGCTAGTCCTCTTTTAAAACTAAAATCAAGAGTGGGCCTGGGGTGGAGGGCCTTTATTGAGCAAGCCAGACAACCAGCTGAGGTTTCACAGCATTGTTTTGTTTCTGTTGAATTTATTTTTAGGATTTCCTTTTACTTATGAGAAGTGATACTGGTTCTTCTGCTTCATGGCAATGATAAAAGGCTTACATTTAAGAGAAAATTATTTAAATAGCACAGGTAGTATCTGGGCATCATTGAAAGAGGACAGACAAACCACCAATTGATGGGGAGACTGAGTTCTCATTCAGATTATGTTCTCAGGGCACTCAGTAAGTGACTCAGTCTCTTTGGTGGTCAGTGTCAATCTCTGTAAAATGGAGGAGTTGGATTTTATCCTTCCAGCTCCACTGACCTAGCATTTTATGAGGAGGGGCTTTGGTGAACAGACAACGCAGAGCTGAAGGGAAAAACCATGGTGGGACTGGGAGCAGGGACGGGAGAGGAACAGAAGAACGGGAGGAAGAGGCCATGTGCTTGTTAGCGCCTTTCCCAGGCCTGCAGCCAGCCAAAGCCAGCTAGCCTCAGTGCTTGAGGGAGACACTGGGATTCTCTTGCCTTACTGGGGGGTCATTGAAAAGAATGAAGACACAGGAATCAAGTGGATCAGTTCAGAGAATGCTATGAGTTTCCAGGCTGTTGCTTTGTAAAGCACTGGGATGATTCGCTGGGTGCTGTTATAATCAGATCAGTCAACAGTGTTTTTTTTTTTTTGTGTGTGTTTTTTTAAACAAATACATCCACTACTCTTCAGGCTCTGTTTCTTCTGCTTTGGGCTTCCACATCAGTTGTAGCTGGTGTCCTGGCTGCCTTTCCACCTTCCTGCCAAGGGAGAATCACAGAGACTTCAAGGTTCCTTCCAGTTACACAGTTTTGTTTATAGGTCCACCCAGAGGCACCTCCTATGTGCACGGAAAATCAATTCCCACGAGACAATGTGTGCTGTGATAAGTGTCCACCAGGTGAGACGTCACCCCACAGGGGACCCCTTCTAGCGTGCTACAAGATCCAGGCCCCGCATATTAATTGCAAAATCAAGTCTGACGCGCCCATTTCTCCCCTCTGCCTTGCTTTCAGAATGTTCTGGGTTCCTTCTCTGCCAGGGTGACCTCTATCTACTCACTGGGGTTCTTGTCTCTTCCATCTCTCCTCCCTGACTCTGAAGGGTCTGACACTTTCATTTTTGAACCTCCCCTTTAAAGCACAGCCGGATCATGTTGTGATTAGGGTGTGACTCACTGAGTTGGCCAGTGCTACCTCATTTCCTGTTTTCCAGGAGAGAAGCTGGTGGATGAATGCACGGAGTTCAAGGCCACGCAATGCGTTCGCTGCCAACAAGGCGAATTCCTAGACACCTGGAACAGAGAGAGACACTGTCGTGTGCACAGATACTGTGACCCCAGTGGGTGGGCTTCTGGGAAAGGGATGCTTGGGAGCTGGCTGATATGTTTGACAGTGCAGCCAATTTGATTTTATAGCTAGGGTCTGTTCTGATTGGCTAGAATTTGGGTCATACTGGTTGTTAAGTAAGTTGATTGCTATCCTTAATTGAAAGCAAGTTTAAGAAAAACCACAGGCAGTGAGGAGTGGGGAGCCAAACATGGCCCACCAAGGGGTTCCCATCCTTCCTGCTCATCTCTGTTCAGATCTAGGGCTCCAGGTCCAGAAAGAGGGCACCTTAGAAGCAGACACCACTTGTGTCTGTGAGGAAGGCCGCCACTGCACTAATGATGCCTGTGAGCACTGTGATCTGCACACTTCCTGTGGCCTTGGATTTGGGGTCAAGGAGCTGGGTAAGTGACCTGTGTGAGACACAGCTCTGCAGGCAAGAGAGAAGAGCTGGGGGTCAAATGTGAGGGTCCAGGCAGTGGGCAGTTAGCTCCAAGGCGGAGGGAGTAGAGACTCCGTCCTAGGTCAGCTTGCCCACTAGAGTAAGCAGGAAATAGGGCCCCTCATATTCTTTCTCCTGCCATGGACGTGTGCCTTGGGAGGCCATGGAGGGGTCCTACTAGGCTGCAGCCCTCTCCCAGGGCATGAGTTCTGGCCACTGGCTCCCTTGAGAGCTGGGCCAGTGGCCCATCTGATGGTCGGTGTGTTCTCCTTTCCCACTCCCAGGTACAGGGGCTTCTGATACCATCTGTGAACCTTGCCCGGATGGCTTCTTCTCCAATGTGTCATCTGCTTCTGAAAAGTGTCACCCTTGGACAAGGTATAAGGACTCACCTCCTAGAGTGAGTCCATGAACCCTGCCTCTCTCTCTCCAGCCCCCCATCTTTTAGTCCCCGCTCTTCCAGAGCCACACACTTGTGCACTTGTGAAACATCCACAGAGTGATCTTGTGGCCAACCTAATGGGCACTTTATGCATTTTTCTTGCCTGATGTCCTTAGTGTGATGGATACTGTTGATCTCCCAATTTTCTCAAAACACTTCCCCCTTGGGCATATTGGGATGCCCCCTGTGCCCCTCCTTCTGCTTGTCTGCCCATACCATTTTATGCCCCTTCTCTGGCCCTTCTGCCCATGCCTCTTCCCTGGGTGAAAGGCACATCAAGACCCTGGACATTCACCCCATGAGCCTCTCTCCTTTTCTCCAATTTCAGCTGCCATGTCCTGTCCATCTGGCCTGAGAGTTTTGGGAACCCCTCTCATCACTTAGCTTGGCCTCCACACTAGACCCTGCCAGTCGTGTCCTTCCTTCAGCTGGTTTTTTGGGCTCTTCCCAAAATGAGCTTTCCACAGTTCCTTTTGGACCATGACACTCTCTGATTTAAAATGCTTCATGGCTCTGTGTTACCTGAGGGGGAAACCCAGACTCCCGGGCAGCATGTGCCCCTAGCTGTGTTTTCTGCTTTCTTCTCTCTCTCTCTCTCTCTCTCTCTCTCTCTCTCTCTCTCTCTCTCTTTTCCCTTCTCTCTTTTCCCTCTCTTCTCTTGCATCCTGTTGACATGCTATTTGCCATCCCCTGAACACACGGTTCTCTTGCTTCAAACTCCTCTGCCTGGAAGACCCCTTACACACATGCCCCATTAACTTTTTACGTTGAATTTTTAAAAAATGGGTAAAGCAGGCACAGTGGACAGAAAACACAAAGGAGCCCACAGTGATGAGTCTCCCTCTCACTTGAGCCCCCAGCCACCCAGTTCTCCTCCTGGGCTGCCTCTTTTCTTGTGTGCCCTTGCAAACACTCTGCATGAATGAATCTGAACATACACATGTATGCACATGTGCACGTGCACACACACATGCATATTCTTCCTCTTTTTGTTTTTTTTTTTGCGCAAATAGTAACACATCATGTATGTTTGATTGTCTGCCTTTCCCCGGTGGCCTTTTTTCTTTCCATCCATCCATCCCTGGGGCCTGGAACAGAGTCTGCTACAGAGCAGGTGCTCAGCCTTTGCTAGCAAGTATTGGTTATAATTAGAGGCTCTCAGGCCTTTGTCAGATCAGCACACTGCCCTGCAGGTAGCCTGCAGCTCAGTAGATGTGTAGCTCACACACTGAACCATGATGTCCTTATCTGGAAAATGGGAATGCTGTCTTCTTGCAAGGCCTGAGAAAAAGATACATAAAAGTGTTCATAAGCTCCTGTAAGGCTAAATGGTGTGCTCTTCCTGCAACTTTCCTTTCTTTCTCCCACCTTTGATGGGCGTTCCTTTGTAATGACCGTCTTAGCTCACTTGTGCCTGCTCCTCTGGGGGCCACCGGGACCAGGTGTCTCTCATCTCCTGAAGAGTCCCCTACATGCCTCTTGGCAGCCCTCTCTTCTGCAGTTTCTCCACCCCTGAGCTCACTGGCCAGCTGATCCTCTCTGGTTGGGTGCTAATGGGACTTACCAGCTGCACCCAGTTGAGACCTTCATGCCCTATTATTGTCAATCTGAATATCCACCCATCCCTAACACCATCCCACATTCCCTTCCATCACACTGTCCATGTCACTGGAATGCACTGCTGTTCTATGTGCTATGTCCTCCAGGGTCCTCTCAGGTCTTTCTTCCACAGGGAACTCTTTACTGATGACCCTTAGACCAGAACTTCTCTCTGGGGGGCAGTATTGCTCCCTGTGGGACACTGACCATGACTGGACACCTTTCCATTGGGGAGGAGGATGCTCCCGACACTTAGTGGGTACAGGCCAGGGATGTTTTAAACATCCTACTGTCCTCAGGCAGCCCTCCAGCCCCTGCCTACCTCACAGAACTGACCAGCCAAGAGGTCCTTGGTATGAGGTTGAGGAGCCTTGGCTTAAACCAAACCCATCACTATTCCATCCTGGCTGTTGTGGATTCTGACTCTGAACAACGCTTATTCCCTTTGGCCTGTGCCACAGAGCTGGATACCCATTATCAGCTCTTGTCTTTATTAGTCCTTCCACATATGCCATTGTGGTTTCCTTGCACTCGAGTTCCATAAGAAAGAGTCGATGCTATTCTCATAAAAGCCAGCATAGACAGGTGCACGTAGTGCATGCTCAGTGAACCTGGGCTTGCTGAGCTTTCACTGCCTCCCTCTGGGATTGGACATTTTGTGGTTGGGAAGAGCTAACGTTATTTTTATCTCTCTCTCTCTCTCTGTGTGTGTGTGTGTGTGTGTGCATGCTTCTATCTGTGTATAGCTGTGAAAGAAAATATCTGGTGGCGCTCCAGGCGGGAACGAGCACTTCCGATGCTGTCTGTGGTGAGTCCTAGGACACTGGCTCTGGTAGCAGCCTAGGAAGGTGGGAACTGGGGAACTGACTGGAGAGACTGAGGCATAGAGGGACACCAGGTAGGGAAAGGGGAGTAGGGAGGTAAAGGGGGAGGAGAAGGCAGGCTGGGGTGTGGCATCCAGCTTTGCCACTTACCTTGGGAGCTTGGGCAAGTTACTTCCCTTTGTTGAGCATCGGGTTGTTTTTTTTGTTTTGTTTTTTAATCAGTAAAGTGGAACGACAGTAGTGACTTCCCTGGTAGGTTAGCATGAACATCAGGCGTGGGTGCTGGTTCTGCCCCTCCATGCTTCAGTGCCAGCATGCTGTAACACGGCCCCCATTGGCCTCGGCTGTGCTGTGCGAGTGAGGAGGTTGGCCTGCGGCACAGGCCAGAAGCTCAGACAGCCACAAGGACTGGGTGGGTCATGTTAACGAGAGAAAAGGGCCAGACAGAGCTCAGAAAAGTACACTGTCTTTCCTCTTCCTCAAAATTGACTTTCCTTTTGGTAGGGCTGGACTAGAAAGAGGGGAGGGAGGCACTTGGCCCAGTATTTAAGGGAGTGACTTAAGCTGCAGTAATCAAGCTGACAACATTTCGATGCAATATTTAAAAATCAAAATGTCAAAAACCCCTCATGATGAGTAGGGTAGAAAAATTTTAAATCAAGCAGGCTCTGACCTTGCCTTTGCTTGACCCTGCCTCACTCTACCCTAATTTTGGCTCTGGCTCCAATAAAACTTTTAATTTAATTAATTAATTTATTTTGGCAGAACCAGGGATTGAACTCAGGCCCTTGTGCTTGCCAGGGAAATTCTTACTCCACTGAGCCATCTCCCCGGCCCAAAACTTTATATTTTAAAAATAGGCGGCTGGGCTGGGGAGATGGCTCAGTGGTCTAAAGCACCTACTTGAAACAAGCTTGGCAAAGCACAGGGACCGCGGTTCGATCCCCCAGCACCACATGCCAGCCAGCCCCGCCCCCTGGTGGGCTGAGCTGGCCACACACACACACAATAAATAAATGTAATAAATAAAAAAAAAAAATTAAAAAAAAAAATAGGTGGCTGGCATTGGCCATCATTTGCTCCTTTGGTGTGACTGGCTGAATTTCAAAATGCAGCATTAAAAAAGTGTTTGAAAAAAAACAAAACAAAAAAACGGGGGTTGGGGAGATGGCTCAGTGGAATAAGCGCTTCCCTGGCAAGTGTAAGGGCTTGAGTTCAATCCCCGGTTCTGCAAAAAAAAAAAAAAAAGTACTTGGTCCTTACTTTTTTTTTTTTTTTTGGTATCCTCTTCAGTTTTGTCCAAAGTGTTTGCATCCCTTGTCTCACACTGGAGACCACCTGCCCCTTCAGCTTTCCTTTATTTGCTGACTTAGAAGAGAGACTTGAGCCCAAGAAATGCTTTCCTTTATGATTCTTCTGTAGCAAAAGCAGCAATGCGGACAAAGTGGAACTGGGCTTCAGTATCTAGCAGAGTACAGTGCTAGAGAGGCAGGCCAGCCAGCCGCCCCTACGCGGTTCTAACCGAAGGCTGCCTGGTAGAGATCTTGGCCCTCAGGGGCCTGCCCCTCCCAGTTTGTGAGTCTAGATGCTCAGATTCTAAATATGGCATTTCCCAACTTTAAAATGTTGGCAGATATCTCAAAAGCATTACAAAATGTTCCGGTCACCCTAAAGACATCTGCCAGCCAGATTTCCCCAAGAGCCACTCATGGGAAACCTCTGATGTAGATGAGTTCAGACACTAAAGGGTTTTAGAGTCTGGCAAGGGACAGCAGTCTCAGGCATGGGGGTGGGAACAGCTGCGCACAGGCAGGCCCACGCCAAAGCCTTGATTTGTCTAGGTTTGCAGAATCGGAGTCGAGCCCTTCTGGTGATCCCTCTCGTTATTGGGGTCCTGGTTGCCATCTTGTTGATGTCTCTGTACTTCACCAAGTTCCCAGGTAGGGAGAAAAGAGGAGAGGGAGGGAGGGAAGGAGGGAAGGAGAAAAGGAGGGAAGGAGGGAAGGAGGGAGGGTAAAACACAGGGGAATATTTCTGGTCCTGTACTGGCCTCTGCAACTCCTCAATCTTTTCCTTCCTTTAGGAAGGGTGTTCAGGAAGCCGAAGGATAAGGTAAGTCATTCCTGGGACTGGGTCAGAGTTTTGGCAAGCTGGAAAGATGGACTTGTTGTCACATATGGGCCAGGAAAACTGACCCAGAGACTCTGCAGCCAGAAGGATGGCAGCAGAGCTGGCTCCCCTCGCCCCTACTCACCCCGATGTGCCAACCTTGACTTCTTTGTCCACTCAATCCTGGCTGTCACCTTCCTATAGCTCACCTCTCTCTGGGGCTTCCCTGCCACAAAGCCGAATCCTCATGGTTATTTGTTCCTTCCCTAGCATTGAATAAGAGGGGACTCCTCCTTTGGGCTTTGGAAGGGCCCAGTGAGTGGGGGACCAAGGGATAGCTTCTTGAACACACTGGCGGTCACTGTGAAGCCAGTGGATTCTTGTCACCCTCGGTGTGGCCAGCAGGGGGCAGGCGGCACCCAAAGAATCTGCGCTGGCTCACTGGAAAGGGGGAAGGGGCTTGGGAGGGGACCTACTTCCCAGGCAGGGGCCTTTCCAAGGCACAGCTGCCCTGTTCTAGGGGTGACTTCTTTCCACCTTGGCTTCCAAGGGCCTCCACTGTACGGTTGACTGGCAAGGTCCTGTGGAAATGGGTGACCCGGATGATTTCCTTGGCCACAACACCGGTGCTCCAGTGCAGGAGACTATGCATGGATGTCAGCCAGTTACCCAGGAGGATGGCAAGGAGAGCCGCATCTCGGTGCAAGAGAGACAGTGAGACGGTGCCTACCTAGGACGTGGCAGCATGGGCACAGAGCACCCGGATGGAGAGCCTGGCACTTCTGCAGTGGTGACAGCATGGAGAGGGGAGCTTAACTCTGACCAGGCACAGGCCCCTCTGCCTGCACTGCCAGAGTCTGAGAGCAGCCCTAGGCTCAGCATGCGACACAGGACCAGTTCACCTCTGAGAACTTCGGTGCGGGTTTTGGAGCCCATCCAACTGCCCTGCCTGCTTCTAAAGCTGGAGGGAGAGCTCTGGTGTTGGGAGAGTACAGGAACACCTCCCACATCTCCCAACCCAACCTTGCAGTTTGGGGACCAGGCCTCACCACGTGATTTCCATGAGCCCAGGGAGGCATAGACACCAATGCCCACTGCAGCGCTGTTTGTCATCGTGAAAAACTGGTGGCCACTGAACTGTCCATCTGCAGGGGACTGTCTACATAGAACTGGAAGCATTTATACAACAGGATCTCAAAAACACTGCCACATGAGAAAGTCAGATGGCATATATGAAAACTCCCATATATATACACTATATATAAAAATATAATAGTGTATATAATATGTGTATATATTAACATATAAATATAGGAGAATTGTGGATCCATGTATAAAAATAGCGTATGTCATATATATAGGTAAGAAAGGGTTCTAGACAGATATAAAGAAATCCTCAACTTGAAGAGTGGATGGGGGCATTTGGTTTCCTGTGATGCTTTATTTTCTTCCCAAAGGAAAGTGAATTCATATAATACTTACGTAATTAAAAAAAATCAAACACGCAAAAAGAAAAATGGGGGTGGACATGCTGGATGACACGGGCTGACAGTTTGCTCTCAGGCTCCCGGAATTAGGGCACTTTCTGAGGATAAGAATGTCCCTAGGCTGCTGCCCCTCCAGACCAGTTTCCGGAAAGCGTGCAAGGCATCCGCCCCATTTGGTTCATGCTCACAACACAGCCTTCCGGAGCAGGCAGGGTCTGCACCCCTCCTCCTTTTACAGAGGAGGAAGCAGAGGCCCAGAGAGCTGAAGCGACCTGGCTATGGCCACGCAGCAGGGTGCAGAGATGCCATGCTCTGAGCTTCCCAGTCTTGGTCCTTGTTTCTCCCAGATCTGCCTGTTCCCTGGCACCTACGTCTGTCACTCCTTCCAGGGAGATCCTGGGTCCCCACTGCCTTCTGACCTCACTGCTATGGGAGCTGCTGCCTCTTGGTCAGATGGTACCCCTTCCCCCCAGCAGGATCTCAGGATAAAAATAACCCGTCCTGTTCTCTTTTCCTGCTGTGCCAACTGAGGGGGAGCCTAGCCAGGAGGAGCAGCAGATGGAGGAGGAGCAGAGGGGCGGGAGGAAGGCTGGAGGACAAGGAGAAGGAAGCACAATGCAAAGAGCAGTGCAGAGCCCTGGCAAAGGGACTGTGTGAGTCCAGGGATCACCACCTTCCCCAGCAAGAAACCACTGTGGGTGTCCCCAGCCTGTCCTCCTGGTTGGATGGTGGGGGTGAAGAGTACTTGTCCTGAGGGATGTTCTGAGGGTAGCTGGGAGCCGGGGGGGGCACCTGACTTGGCATACTTCCTGGAAGAGGTCCAGGAGCCATTTGGAGGCATCAGGTGGAGGTCCTTGGTTTAGAAAGCAGAGCAAAGAGGTGGAGGTGGGAGGGGGGCCTTAGGACCTCATCCTCAACCCCTGCCTAGAGCCCACATGCTAGCAGTACTGACTGCTGTGTGGTGTGTGTGTATGGGAGAGACATGAAAGGCCCATGTCTGCTGTCTATTACCCATGGAATCTTGGAATACCCTTATCACCTCTTTTACCCATGGAATCTTGGGGAGTCCTTATCACCTCTTTACTTCCCAGGTTCCTTGTCTGCTGAATGCTGGCAATGAGTATAGCAGATACCTCTGCTGCCCCTCACATTCTGCTCGTGGGTCAGAGATTGTAGACATGGTGAAGCCCAGAACCCCCCAAGAGGCCTGTTATGGGGTGGGCCCCCTGCAAGTCTTTCTGACTCAGTGGGCTTGGAATGGAGATCAGGAGTGTGCATTTGTGACAAGTAGATAGGCAGAACCGATGCCTCTGGCCAGGGATCACATCTTGAGAACCATTGCCCTTGACATTTACAATGCCTTGTGAGCAGCTGGTGTCCTTCCTAGCAGCCGGCATTGCTTGCTTAGGCCTTCCCAGTCTTGGAGACCAGGTGTGGCAGACAGAGGCTGGGCAACGCTGTGGCTGTGACAGCTACTGCTCTGGGAGCATCATTCAGCCAACCAGAGTCTGAAGCATCCTTCCCTTTGGGCGGGACCTGTGAAGTATGCTCTATGCTTCTCCCGGGGCTCCCAATAGAGACTGAACCCCACATGTGCGCTGGGGACTCTGCACAGGTTTCTGTCCCAATTGAATACCACTCTTGCGCACTTCCTGGGCTCAGCTCCACAGCCTGTATTCATCCCTAGTCCCAAATGTGCTCCTGGGAGAGGTTTTCCCCAGAACTCAGCAGATACCTTAGTGTCTGTGATAGAGGGCAAGAGGAGGTTATTCTTGGTGAGTATAAGAACCACACAACTCCAACAAGTTCTAGCAAGTTCTGGTTCTCCTGCAGTTTGCTCAGGAACTTTTTCTGCGGCCTCAGGAAATTTATTCTCTGGTTTGAGGTTTTTGTCCCCGGATGTATGATGAAGGGCTGGCGCCCTGCAGGGTCTAAGCGACCTGTCCGTTCTGAAAACAGTGCAGAGGACAAACCTCCCCCAGGTGTAGGATCCACTTTGGCCCATGGAGAGGTGGCTGTCAGGCATGTATCAACCAGCAGGTGGCGCCAACGTAACGTCCAAACACTGATAGAGGCTGGACCGCTGAGAGAAGTTGGCTTTGCGGATACTGCCTCCACCGGCTCATACCCGGGAGGTGAGGCCCTTTTTCCTTTGCCCGGTTTCCTGCAGCCTCTTGTCTATCACCCTGTCCGTTTCCAGTTGTCAGCCTCCCTGTGAACTACTTTAACAAACATTGACTGTGACTCTGGGTGTGCCTTTATCCTGGGACAGGGCCACACAGAGATAGGGCTAAGCTCTCAGTGTGCAGGGTGCCAGGAACTCTACATGCACTTAATGTGCATGACCATGCCCTGATGGTATGGGGTCTTACAATACCCATGCTACGGATCAGGCTTGGAGATCAAATGACTTGGTACGGTTTCAAGAATTAGAGCTGAGGGGCCAGGAGATAGTTCAGCAGACTAAGCACTTGCCTGGTAAGTGCAAGGGCCTCAGTTCAATCCCTGGTTCTGCCAAAAAAAAAAAAAAAAAAAAAAAAAGAGAGAGAGAGAGAGAGAGAGAGAGAGCTGAGATCAGGGCCCAACTAGGTACATATCCAGAAGCCTAAAGTTTTTTCTTGATCCAGGAGTAGGGGACACAGCCAGATGTTAACAGACCAACAAGACACTGTGACCATGGAACAGGGCCACTAACCTCTAGAGTGGTCGGGCGTAGAGCCTCGCACTGGCCCAGGGGCTGGACAGGGAGGGACAGCGTCATTTGGCTTCTTCCAGTGGTTACTGGGAAGGAATGGGGCCACATGTTGCTAGGGACCAAGATGTTATGTGACAGCTCCACACGCTTAAATGCTACCAATTCCACAATTTAGAAAAACTCAGTGAGTGCCCAAGAAAGCTTGCTGCAGAGCTTGGGTTAAAAGATAGGGAATTGCGCTGGGTCTGATGATGGTTTGATTTTATGTAGGGGGAAACTGAAGCCCTCTGAGGATCTGGACTGGATCACACAGAAAGTCTTAGGCAGGCTGACTTTTTTATTAGTGCCTAGCTGGGGTGAAGGTGGGGAGTAGAGAGAGACCCTGGTGGCATAGGCTGCACCCTCTGAAGCGTGGGTGACTCAGGTGACCAAGCTGCATAGAGCTGCAGTGGCCGCTATCTGGGGTACCTGGCCCATGGGTGGGCACCGGTGCTGCCTTCCCCAGGCCTGCAGGCCTACAGTCCATTCCTTGATCAGCAGAAAATATGAAAGACTCTGCCCCCAAGGATCTCTTTTCCCTAGAGTAATTCCAGCATAGAAAATCACAAACTACCTGAAGGGGTTAGGGGGAGGGTGTAGTTTTAATTTGTACAGAGAGATAGAGACAGAGTCAGCTGGGGCAGGGGGGGATCCTATGCAGTCAGGCTGTGGATCTGGGTGTGGGGGTGCTCAAGTGGAAGGGATTCTCCTGGGGTAAGTAGCACTGCTAATTAGGGGCTTCCAGAGGGGCCAGAGAGATAGGTGAGCAGCATTTCTCCTTTCGGTGGGAGATGGGAGGATGCCCCCGTTCCTCTGTCCTCCTGTCTCTGGGGCTGTCTGTCTCTCTCTGCCCACAGGCACACCCTGATGGGCCTTGGTGCCCAGCTACTTCCCTGCAAGCCCTCCCCTCCCACCCTCTGCAGCGGCTGCCTGCCCTCCAGCCCTGCCCTCCCTGCTTCCTGCCTTGCTCTTCACCCCTTCCTTTCGCATCTCCAGCTCTATCTGCCTCAGCCCTGTCATCTTTGGAACAAGTGCTTTTGTTTTGACTAATTATAAAACTCTCACTTGGGTATAACCCCCTCCCTCCTGCCCTCCCAGCAACAAACAGGGATGGGAGAAAGAGACCACCTGTGAGCCTCGTGTCATCTCTGCCAATCACAAAGGGCGCTCCTTCCAGACTTGCTTTCTGTGCCAAAAATATTTCTAAAATTTGGGACATTATTATAGACACTGTTTTGCAAGCAGCCTCCTTTGCTTAGCAGTATACAACAGACATCTCCATACCAGTAAATATAGATCAACAACGTGTTTCTTCATCCGGGCATAGATTCTGTCCTATGGCAGGAGTGCGATGGATGGGAGGATCCCTGTAGCCCTAGACCCTCCCAGAAGGTTCTGTCTTTTCCTCCCCAGTCTCCCTCTGCGCACTCCTCCATGCACCCTTCCTCCGTCTTTCTACCTCTCCCATGTCTATGGTCTCTCTCTCTCTTGCCTTCTTCTCTTCTCCACCTTCATCTCCAGCATCCCCACCCCATCTCTTCTTTCTCCCTTTGCATGGCTCTTTTCCCTGGGAAGGACATTCCAGCCTCGCCTTCCATTCCAGCCCAGCACTCTGTACCCCGTGGAGGGGTGGGGGGCCCACGGTGTCTAACACAGCTCCCCTGGGTCAGGCGTGTGCCGTCTCATTAGCGAGCCGGTCCTCCCAAGTGAGGCAGGCAGGAGTCACAGTAGCCGTGAGGAGCCTAATTGAATGTAACTAATTATTCACTCCTTTAAATGGGCCTAGGAGGGACGGAATTACTCACTCTGAACTGGGGAGCCAGTGATCTGGCCGGCTGGCAAACAAATCCCGGGGCCTGCAGAGAAGGCTTCTTTGGAATACTGATTAGTTTAGGTGATGGGGTGAAGCCAGGCCCATGGTCGCCTCTCTGCCTCCTTCCTCATCCAGGAAGTTGGGGTCTGGAGGAGAAATGGTTCTTGTGAGATTCTAACTGGAGGTCCCAGGGTTAATACGTAGTGGGGGCAGGCCGAGATGAACTGCTGAGTCTGGGCCCTCAGGCCGGCCCAGGCTAAGGCTCATTATGGACAGAGGCTGGCGGACCCTTGCAGAGTCAGGATGTGGGTGTGGGGTAGGTGGTGGCTAGTGACCTCACCTCACCCAGAGCCTCCTCTGTGGGAACTCAGC